CATCTCTATCTTATGGCACTTTTCTCTCACCTCTCACAGGACAGACTGTATCATGCCTCGTACCGCACTTAAGTGTGCATGTCTTTTTTTTTTTTAGACAGTTTAAAAAAAATTTTTTTTTAAAGTTTATTTATTTTTGAGAGAGAGCACTGTCAGGTCAGAGCAGAGCCCCATGCAGGGCTCAGACTCCTGAACTGTGAGATCGTGACCTGAGCCGAAACCAAGAGTTGGATGCTTAACCGACTGAGCCACCCAGGCACACCAGGTGTGCATGTCTTATCTCCCCTAGATCAGCTGTCAACTCCTGCAAGGCACAGACTTTACCTTGTTCACCCTTGTTGCACTCAAAGACCTCAGCACATTGTCTGACACAGAGTAAGGGTGCAGGTGGTATGGGCAGGCTGTCGGACTAGAGAGCTGGTCGAATGGATATTTCACCAGCTGGAGGAAGGTCTCTCAGAAAGTTAGAACTTGCCTTTCCTCCGAGAAGCCAGTTTCGGCCTCCCCCTCCCCCATTAATGATCCCATAGGAGTAGGTCACTAGGGCCTCAAGGGGGAGAAAATATGAGTCACACTATTATCAGAGGAAGGAGGGAGGGCAGAAACATCTCTCCTTGTGCAAGGGTCAGAGCCATCAGTTTGGGGCATAAACACAATGGCCTTCCCTATCCCCTCGGTTGTGGCTAATCTAAATTACTTTATGATGGAAGGCAATGGGGTGAGCTGAAAGACGTTCAGCTTGGACTCAGACACGGGGAGATTTCTAGGAAACTATTTAGAGTAAGGATTTTCTTGTTCAACCAGCCAAAGGGAACACTTGCTTTTTATAGGGTCTGCCCTGGTTGTTCTAGTTGAGGATGAAATTCTACCTTCCTCTGTAGAATCTTCCCTGGTGAAAAGGAAGGAGGACATCCCAGGGCAGCCTCATCCAAAGATGAAGGGAAGCTCTGTGCCCTGTTTCTCTCGAAGGTCCTCATATCCCAGCAGCAGACCGGGGCAGGACGGCAGCAGGAATCTGAAGAGCAAAAGGCACTCAAGCCTTCTGAGACAGAATCCCAGAACCATGTTCCTGTGGGAAGAATTTCCAAGCTTATAGTCAGACTCTGACACTAGGTGACTTTAAGGGATTTACTCACCTCTCTGGGCCTCTATTTTCTCTCCTGTAAAAGACCTGCTTCATTCCGGGTATTCGGAGAATACAGTGAAATTGTGGATCTGAAAGTGCTTTGGCTGCCAAGTGGTGGGTCACCAGACTTGTGCCCACTCGGCACAACACAGTCAACAAAGCAACCCCATCTTCCAGCCCCTAGTGGCCACGAAAGCACTCGGGTTCCTGGTGCCAGACGGGAGACATGACCTCTTATTAAACTTCTGTTCAGAGAGCCCTTTCCATGCTATTCCTGCTGCCGCCAGTTCCCTCTAAACAGGCTTGGGATTGGTGGGGGGCTCCTGGGTGGCTCAGTCAGTTAAGCGTCTGACTCTTGGTGTCTGCTCAGGTCATGTTCTCCCAGTTCGTGGGATGGAGCCCCACATCGGGCTCTGCACTCTCCGCCCCCCCCCCCGCCCCCAACCCCGCCGCTCCCTCACTCATGCTCTGTCTCTCTCAAAATACATAAATACACTTTAGTTAAATTTTTTTTAAATAAATGGGGTTGGGTGCTGGGGTCCAAGCCTCTGCACCAAAGAAGGCCTACTTCAGGAGTGCAAGGTAGTACTGGCTTCTGCGTGCTGAGGCCCACTAGGTCCGGAGGCTGGGTAAGCTGAGTCCTGCAAGGCCGCACTATTGTCATTGTTGCCACGGTTAACATCTTTATGAATCAGGCTTTGTTAATTCCCAGTGAGGCCAAATCATTGGCCTCCCAAACTCTCACATCTCCAGAGTCAGGGAAATTAGGACTGAGGTGTTGTGTCTTACTCAAAGGTAAGCTTGGCATCCCCCGCCCCCCGCCCCCCGCAGATGGCAGCCAGCCAGCTTGGCAGGAAGGGCGGCCCACTCAGTGAATTGGCCCTGCTCTCCCACATCCACCTCAGGGGAGACAAAGAGAATTTACGTGTCCCCAGTGTGACTTTGCTGGCCACAAGTTTGTTTCCACTGGCACCTTGGGGACCCTGGAAGGCTCTTCCAATTATTGGATCAGCAGAGTCCTATTTGGGGTGTCTCCAGACTGGAGCACTAACACCAGCAATGTGGCCCTGAGAAAATCTCTTTACATGTGGGCCTTGGTTTCCCCATTTGCTGAATGGAGGTTTGTCAGATCTATTTTGCCTTCTTCACAATACTGGTTCAGAGGATGAAAGGAATAAATACATAGTCATTTAGTAAATAACTTCAATGAAATGATTATGAACAAGGAGGGGCCCTGGACAAGATGAAACGGTTAAGGTTCCCTGGGAAGGTTGGGGGGGGTGTCTTTTTTTAATTTTTTAAGAATGTTTATTTATTTTCGAGAGAGGGACAGAGTGTGAGCAGGTGAGGGGAAGAGAGAGAGGGAGACACAGAATCCAAAGCAGGCTCCAGGCTCCAAGCTGTCAGCACAGAGCCCAACGCAGGGCTTGAACTCACAAACTGTGAGATCATGACCTGAGCCGAAGTCAGATGCTTAACTGACTGAACCACGCAGGCGCCCCCATCTTGCTTTCTTAGTGTCTCAGTTAAAGTCTAGAGTTTTTTATCCACCCAGTGGGGAGAAAAGCCGGTCTCTTTTCTTTCCTTTTTTATGTTTGTTTGTTTGCTCGTTTGTTTAGAGCGCATGAGCAAGGGAGGGACAGAGAGAGAGGGAGACAGAGAATCCCAAGGAGGCTCCCTGCTAACAGCACAGAGCCTGATGTGGGACTGCATCCCATGAACTGTGGGAACATGATCAGAGCCAAAATCACGAGTCAGGTGCTTAACCGACTGAGCCAGCTAGGCGCCTCAGGAGTAAAACTGGTTTCTACCCCTCCTCCCCTTTGCCCTGTTCTCTCTGTCACATCTGCCCTGTTGGGGCCCTTTTGAATTAATAAAACAGTAACAAAAGTACTCAATCAACCAGTGTTTATTGATCACCTACTATGTGCCCAGCACTCTTACAGATAGTCTGGGGGATACAGAGAGGTCTCAGATATGGCCCCTACCCTCTAAGAGTTTACAATGTATTTGTGAAATCAGATACACACACATGAAAAGATAACTGTCCATCCAAAAAATGTGAATAATAAGCATCAAAGAAGCAATATTTACACGTCGAGGGTTGGAGGAGGGAGGGTAGGAGAGGGACGGAGTGGTCAGAGGAGACTAGTGTTGGAGGTGGTGCTGAACAAGTTCTTCAGACATGAGGAAGACGTGGGTAAGTGGAGAGGGCCTTCCAGCTTCAGAGAAGAGCTTAATCACAGGCGAGGAGGTGAAAAGGTGAAAGGCATGTTAGAGACAACCGGTGAGTCCCTTCTGTTGGCCCCAAGGTTTGGGGAGGTGGACAAGAGTTTGCCAGAAGCTGGGCGGGCAGGCTTCGGCTGGTGAGGGAAAATGTGTTTGCTTTAGCTGTGTGACTCCCACCCCCGACTCCATCCCCAGGGGAAATGGAACATTTTTCACACTTGGCACTGAAACTGTGTCCTGGGAACCACCCTCTACTGTCCCACCTCAACTGAAATCCCAAGCAGCAGCTCAGCTATGGCTTAGATCGGGGGCTACAGCTCATTGAGCATTGTTGTTCCGTGAGGAAGCCCTCCGACACCTTCTAGCAACTCTTGAGATGTCTGGTGAAGGATGGGGCCAACCTGAAGGGTGACGGGGGCCCTGCTTGGCGCTGCGGTCACTCAGAGGCTCTGTACTGCTCTGTGGGGAGACCCCAGGGGACTGACTGCAGCGTTTGGGCTGATTTTCCATTAGGGAAGCTGCCTCTCTCTGGCCCAGGAGAAACACCCACTGGAGTGTCCACCCAGCTTCTGAGACCAAAGTTCCTATTCTTTCTTGGGCGGCATCAAGGAGTGGTCTCTTCTTCAGTCCCTCGTGGTTCCCACTCTTTCATCCCCCAGCCAAGAGTCATCTCTAGAAAAACTAGTTTCCTCTTCCTAAAGAAATCACTGTGTAGGACCCGTAGCCTTGTTTCTTAGCAGGAAGCCAGATCAAGGGGAGACACGGGCTTCCGTGAAAGTTGGGGCTGCAGCTTCTGGGGAGGTTCCTCAGTGGAGTCAGAGTCTGCTGCTGCCTTGAGCTTTCCACCATATCTTCTTTCTTTGTGCTTTCCTCTAGTGGGGAAGCCAGATCCCCAACCCACGACGGAAGGGAATTCCGGCAAATGCCCTGGGCAATGATTTTTTTGTGGTCCTCGGCTGCCTTCCCTCCCTCTCACCCTGCACCCAGTTATTCTCTGTTCCCTTGGTACCATGGGATGGTTTTATTTCAGTTCATGCACAAGCCAGGCTGAACACTGTGGAGTCATAACAACAATGGGACGGAGGCTCCGGACCTCATTACGGGCCAGTTTCTTTTGAGAGAAGCTTGGAAAGTTGGTGAGAGCCGTGCCCATAAAAGCCACCACTCTTTCTCTCCCCACATCTCCCAGCAATGAGCTAAGAGCCAACAGCCAACCTAAAGAGGGAGGGTCTCCAGTCACAGAGAGGATTAGTCAGTGGGATATAATTAGTAGGTTTGGGAATGGATTCCCAGGTAAATCAAAGGGCAGAGGGGAGCTTCTGTGCCATGGCCTAGGGTAAGAGGATGGAGTTTGGAGTTGAGGGTTGAGGACTCCAGGTGGGGAGTGGGTGGTGGGCAAGGTGAAGGAAACAGAAAGGCTGGCTTGGCAAGTATCTTGACATTTCAACCTGCACGCTGTCACACCAGGTCCCATTTCTGCCTTTGCCTGATCCAGTGGCGAAAGTCAGTCTATCCTCAGCAACACCTTCTGCCATGATCCAGTGGCAATGTCCCTCACCTGTGGCCCGGGGTGGGGGAGGGGGGCACTGTCCACTGTTTTTCACAGACCCAGCCACCCCCACCCCCGGCTCTGGTCCCTGGTTCTTCACACATACCCTGTCAGGCTGTAGGAGTTAAACTCACTCTTGACCTTGGGTGGTTGACCAGGCCTTGGAGAGCCCCGAGTTGCGAGGGGCTGGGCCTGGTAGGCGTCATAGTAGTTGGAGCGATTTCCCGGGAGTGGGCAGGAAAAGCAGAGGATGATTCCAGCTACCAGGGAGAACAGGGAGGAAATAATGCCCAGGTAAAGAGCCTCTCCGATCTCAAATTTCATGCTGTCAGGTACCAGTGGGGAGTAGAAGTCCCGCAGGATCCCATGAAGATTCCAGGCAACAGGGATGAAGCCCAGGAGTCCTCCAAGGATGAAAAAGACTCCGCCCACCACTGCCAATCTGTCTTTGACTCGGGAGTCCTGGCAGAAGACTGTGCATCTCATGCCCACCACAGAGATCATGCAGGCCAACGAAGAGATGGCACTGGATGTCACCATCATGGCCTGGGCAGCCTGGATGTCAGCGGGCAAGCCTAGAAGTGTGCTGTAGATGTCACACTGGGTGATGCCCGTGCTGTGTGTAGCACACTCCATCCAGAGGCCCTTGGAGAAGCCGACTGCCGTCACGATGCTGGTGCCGACGTAGGAGCTGGTTCGCCAGCTGGGGAGCAGCATGGCCACCAGGGTGCCCAGCAGCCCCAGGAGGCCCAGGATGTAGCCTACAAGTTGGAGGCCAACAGAGGCCATGGCGGACCTCTCAGCAGAAGCGGCTTCAGGGCTGGCTTCCTTGCCGTCTGGCTGCAGCTCTTTCTCCTTGGATCTTGGTCTTTAAAAATCCCTCATTTCAGAGTGTCTCTACCAGGCCAATTTCTCTCCTCCTTACAAGTGTCTGTGGGTGGCCACAAGCAGGCTCAAGAAGGCATCTAGAAGACCTAAAAAAATCCATAAACCAGATTAAATATTGACCAGAAGCTTATGAGAAACCAGAAAATGCTGGATGCCTTTTGACCTTTGTTATCTTTAGAAATAACACATGAGAAAGAAAAAAAAAAAAAAACTTTGAAAGTGGAGCCAAAATGTCATCGCCTCCTGCGTAGGCACATGCCTTAGGTTGGCAGCCAGACAAAGCCAAGGGCCAGACGGGTGACTCCTTTCTGAGAAGGTAGTGGTGGAAGTGGCAGTTGTGCTGGACGTGTTAGCTCCAGGTCAGGTTGTTCGCTGGCACAGTTCTGTATCCAAAGCCTCTGTTTAATGCATTGCCCAGCAACAGTGCCACAGGGCCCCTCAGATGCAGACTGAGGCCAAACTCCAGGAGACGGGAACAGGAGGAACAGGTCCTAGGATATAGCTTTGGACTCCAGGTTATTAGAGGCCTCTCAGGTCTCCAGGGGCCTAGAGGGCAGTGGTCTATCCCTGAGTCATCCTCCCCAAGGTGAAAATCTACTCCAGGGCGGGTTGGGGTAGGCAAAAAAGACTTCTGTCTACACTTTGAGAGTTCAGGTCCTCCCAACCCTGCCCAAATGTCCTCCACAGGCCAGCCTAAGCTCTCCTGCGTACATAACACAATCAGACATTTCCTGCATTCTCTCTTAATAGATCCCTTTACCAGCCCTGGCCTCTCAGAAAGTGTGGACAAATTCTGTAGAAAAGTTTGTGCCAACGCCTAGGGGGAGCCCTGAAATTCCCTAGGCTATCTGCTAGGGTACTAGGATGAACAGAGGAAAGGGGGCTTGTTCTACAATGGAGGGCTTTGAAAGAAGAAGTCACCTGAGCCAGACCTTTAGAATCTCAGAGCTGCCTAGGATTTTGCAGTGTTCAGGGTGCAACCCCACACACTCCTGCCAAGGTTCAAGACCCTGAGGGTCAAGGGCACATCCTTTTACCCATACTCTACAAGACCTTCCAGCCCACTAACTTTTCAACCCCGCCTAATCTGGCTCTTCCATTTTAGCCTTCCTCAAGATTTCTCTTTTCCTAATCATCTCTTAAATTCAAGTAGTCTTCAGAAGCCCATTCCTTTCTCAATCAACACTCCATCCTTCCGCAAATGTCCCATGACTTCATCTTAAGTGGACTTAATCCACCCCATGACTTAATCTCCAACCTATCCACTGGCACTTCGAAATCTGAATTTCCATCATAGACCTTCCTCATGGGCTTCAAGACTGCCAGAGCAAGCACCTATTTAAATGTCCACTTGGAAATACCATACATACCTCAAATTTGACATGTTCAAAAGAGAACTCGTCACCTATCTTATTGCACTCTTCCGCAACTAGTTCTTCCTTGCATCTCCTGTGACCACTGAGTGATACCCCTATCCATCCGGTCGCACCAGACCGAAATCCTGGGAGTGATTCTTGATGCCTTTCATGCTTATTCATCACCGTCATGGTCAACGTCTCACCAACTCTACTTCTAGCATATACCTCGAATCCATGGCACTCTTCTCCCTATCACTACTGCTACTTGCCCAAGTCAGTGCTTCATCATCTTCTCTCCTCCTGACTATAGCAATTACTTCCTAACGTGTCTTATTTCCAAGCTTGTCTCATACAATTCATCTTCCACGTTGCTAAGGTGATCTTTCAACAGAGTAATCTGATCAAGTGTCCACATAAAGCATTCCAGTGGCTCCCCATTGGCTAAAGGATAAAGTCCAGACTTGTTTGTACTCAATGACCTCTCAAGCTTCATCTCTTGCCATTGCCCTCATCATATTCTTACTGAACTAAATTACTTTCAGTTCCTCAATTGTGTTATGTTGTCTTTTGCTTCCAAACCTGAGTGCAGGCTCTTCCTTCTATGCAGGATACCTAGCATTCTTCTGTCTCTGTGTAGTGACTTCTCTCTGTTTAGGGTTCAACTCACATGCCTCTTCCTCTACCTTGGATCAAGTGCTACTTCCCCATGATTTTGTAGCATTTTGTGTTTACTTACCTCCATCGTAGCAGTAGTAGTAGTAGTAGTAGTAGTAGTAGTAGTAGTAGCAGTAATCGTAATAATAATGGTGATAATAACACTTATATAGTGTTTCTGATGTGCCTATTATAAACACTTTATACATGTTAACTCAATCATCACAACAATTTTTTTGTGGTAGGTACTAATAATCCCTATTGTACAGTTATCGCACTGTATTGCAGTTTCCTGCGAAAATCTGTATTCTTCCCCACTAGTCTGTGAGCTACTTCCGGGCAACGACTGTATCTTATTCATCTCTGTATCTCAGGTGCCTTGCATAGTACATTACCCAGATCAGATGGTCAAAAATATCTTCTTAATGAGTGGATGAAAGTGATAAAGAGGTTTGAGGGACCATATGATATGGACTTTCTCAATGAGCTAATGACACTTCAGTGTAAGGGACTAGAGCTGTCTGCTGTTGGGTAAAAAGGTTGAGAGAGGGAATTAGAGGAAGGAGGGCAATGGCGAGAGAGGGGGGGGAGGGACGAGAGAGGGAGGGAGAGAGAGAGAGAGAAACAGAAGAGAGCCAGGAAGAGAGGGAGAGGGGAAAAAAAAAACAGAGACAGAGAGACATACAGAAAGAGAGCCAGAGAAATAGACAGAGAGAGAAAGAGAGAGAAACAGAGACAGAATTTCATCATTTTGTATGCATATGCATTTGCTGAATATCTTGCCTCTTCAAACTCTAAACCACCTGAAGGAGGAAACATATTAAACGTATTGATTATTAAATACTTTAAACATAGATTAAACTTCTGTTGTGCCTCTGCAGCATTGGGCACAGAGATGACAGCCAATACTATTCATCAGTGATGAGTAGAACCAGGCCAATGTTGATGCAAAGCAACGGGGGTGGGGGGGCACTACGCATTTGATGGGATGGGGAGGGAAATCTGGTGTGAATCTCAGCTCTGGCACTTACTGGCTGTGACACTGCACAGGTCCTTTCCATGCACGGTATTCTTACTAATAAGCGGGCACAATTTTACCCTATCCTGATCATGACTGTGCATCTCGGTGGGGCTTTCAGTGCTGTTTGGAAATCCTTCTACTTCTCCCTGGTGAGCATCTCCTGGCGACTACGTCAGACACTTAGCACTTTCTCTGAGCTCCATGCCTGACCTCCTCCCTCTGCAGCTCTTACCCTACCGTCATCATTTTCTTTCCATCAAGATTCCTAAACAAACCATTTAATGTTGACGTCTCTACTTCTTCCCCACCCCACTGAATGCCCAGCCCTCTGCAGCCTGGCTTCTGCCATTAGCCTTCTGCTGAAACTGAGGTTACCAGCAATTATCTTGTCCCCAGTCATACTTCTGTCATCTCACCTTGTCTCTCTCCTTCACAGAACTGTCCTCTCCCCTGTCTTCTGCCAGAGCCCTCCCAGTGTCCCCTGCCCCTCAAAAATGATTCTTCTAAGTCTTCTTTATAAGTTTTTCTTCTTGTGCCCACCGTATAAATCTGACTATTCCCTCCAGGGTTTCATCTGGATCCTAGACTTCTCTTTCTTATTTTTCACATTCTCTAAGGGTGGTCTCATCAATCGGTCTCTATGCCAGTGACTCCTGAATCCATACTTCTGGCACAGATCTCTCTTCTGGACTCAAGATTTGTATAATCAACTGCGTTTGGATTGACCCCATCTGAATGTTTTAATGGCACCTCAGACTCAACATTTGCAATGCTAATATCATCTGCTCTCTTCCCTCTCCACCTTCAAACCATTCCTCACACAGTGTTCTCTATCTCACTAGGAACATCCCTCATCCAGCAACTCAAGCAGGTCGTCCTTGATTCCTCCCTTCTTCCTGACATGTAATCAATTATAAAGTCCTATCAGATATACCTTCAAAATATGTTCCGAATGCATCCACTTGTCTCCATCTCCACTACCTGTACTTTAGTTCAAACCATGCAGCTGTTCTCTCTTGTCCATTTGGAATGCTCATAGGCACCTCAAACTGGTCTCTCTAATTCCACTTCCGCAATCAATTATCCATCCAGTAGCCAACGATCTTTCTAAAATGGAAATCTAATCCTAAAATGCCACCCCACCCCTTTGCCATGCTTTAAGAACTTCAGGGCCTCTTAACTGCTTTCAAGATGAAGTTCAAACTCTAGCACAGGAAACCAGGAAAGCCCTCCATTGTTTGGCTCCTGATTTTCTTTTCAGCCTCATTTCCCATCAGTAACCTCCAACCTCATGTTTTATGCTTACACACACACACACACACACACACACACACCACCCCCCCACCCCCACCCCCACCACCACACACAATCCAGCCATACCTGAACATGTGCACTTCTCTAAATTTGCCTTTCTCTCTGTTTCTAAGTCCTTAAGTATGCTATTCTACCATCCAACACTTGTTTTGCTAATTTCTGGTCATCCTTCAGGACTCATCCTCTCCTTGAAACCTTCCTTAGACTCCCTCTTCCAACCGAAGCTAGGTTGAATACTTTTCCTTTGTATCTCCTAGCTACGTACAAGTTTTCAGCGAGTGTTGGTGAGCTACCTTGAGGTTTTTGGGGAGAAGACCCCCTGCTGTTCTGAGAAGCTCTCCTTCTTCAGCCTTCTTGGGATGGTGGCAGAGGAGACCAGCTTCGGTTTCCCATGAAAGTCAGCAGTGTCCCCAAGAGGAGAGCCTCTCCCCAGAGTCAGTCCTGACTTGGTAAGCATAAGTAGGAGAAGTAGATTGGGGTGAGGGAAGACAGAATCTAAAAAATGCCATCCCCGAGGCTTGGAATCTCTAGAGTCTGATTTGGCATGGCTGGAC